CAGGCAGGCTCTGAGGTGCACGGCATCTCTCTGCAGAAATACCCACCCCGGAAGGATTTTGTGAGGGCCGTGTCCCTGCAGACAGGCTACCTGATCAAGGCGAATGGTGCCAGTGCCTGCGTCCTCTATTATCTCACCCAGGTGGACCCCCGTGGTGAGTGCCAGCAGGAGGGAAGGGTGCAGCATGCCTCCTCAGGGATGGGTCCCATTGTACCCCCAGATCTCACCCACCATGGGTCTCCATCACCCAGAGGTCCGAAGGGCAGTGGGCAGTGCTCAGGGAAGAAGGGGATCTCCTCCCAGGGCACAGCCTGGGGCAGGTGCCATCAGGCCTAGGGGGGCTCAGTCTGGCTTGGGGGGCTGCAGGACCCTCCTCTGGGGCTAGCCCATATTGGCTGAGTGACGGGGCTTTGGGCTTTTGCAGGCTCTCTGCCAAAGTGGGTGGTGAACCGCGTCTCCCAGTTTGTGGCACCGAAGGTAAGCAGGGTGCATGGTCAGCGGTGGGATGCGTGGGCATCAGGGATGAGCTGCCCTGAAGCAGGCCCCTAGGTAGGGGCAGGATGGGTGCTGGGTGACTCAGGGCTCACAGGACAGGTGCTGGGTATCCCAAGGCTTGCAGAGCATGCACTGGGCATGCTGCTGGGGCTATATGGTCCGAGCCAGGCCATTATCGTCTCCCAGCACCCTCAAAAAGCAAGCAATGGGGGAGCTGGGAGCCATGCCCATAGACCAGGGTGGCTCCATCCCCACTGGGGACTTGGGGCACTGTGAAGGGCTGGTCCCGCTCTGCCCACAGGCGATGAAGAAGATCTACAAGGCTGGACTGAAGTACCCGGAGTGGAAATGCAAGCACGACCCAGGCTACAAGCCCTGGGTGTACCCGGAGCAGAACACACTGCCCAGCGTCAGCCTGGCTGAGCTCTCGGTGCAGCACGCCGACTCACTGGAGAGCATTGATGAGACGGGGCTGCCCGAGGACCACCTGAGCACCAGTGACCACGAAGCCTGAGCCCTCATCACAGCCTTCTTGCGGGGGGACCCCCCTCGAAGCTGGGGCTTGGCAGCCAAGGGGCACGGGCAGGAATTTGGCCCCAAATAGTCATGTCTGCTCTCCAATTCTTTTGTCACAGACCCCTCCCTACCCATGCAGTAGGGTGGTGTCCCATGGGAACCTGTAGCACGGGTGCTGGAAAGAGGGAGGATGAGCACTCTGGTCCCCTTGTGCTGGGGCTATGGTAGCCCATGGAGATGTCCCCACGCCAGAGGTAGAGCTGACAGTGGGAGGGGGTGCCCTGAGGAGAGGCTGGGCAGGGCGAGAGAGGCAGAATAATGCTTCATGGGGTTGGAAAGAGCTTTTCTGGTACCAGGATGTCCCTTTACCACCATAAGACCTTCTAGGCGTGTCCCTCAAAGGTCCAGAAGTAGGGGGTTCTATGGGGGTGCTGCCCAGGCTTTGCAACAGCACAGGGCTCAGATCGACCCTTTCTGGCCTGAGGTCTGGCTCTGCCAGCCCTGCAATCATGCTGGGCCCACTCTAGCCCACCAAGCCCTTCCAGGCTTTGTGTGACCCCCCCATCTCAGGGAACCCCCTCCCAGGTCCTCTCCTGGGCATCAGGCTCACCTCCGCAGGCTGGCTCTAGCCCAGCTGGCTCTGAGGACCCCTTCCCCAGGTGGTGTTTGTGGGGGCTTGTCCTGGCAGTGGGGTCTTGGGCAGCCTCTATCCCCACTCTCTCGGTGTTTGCCGCTGCTGTGGTTTCTGACACAACAATAAAAGGGGTTGGTGTGTGTGTGAGAGAGCTGTGGGCTGGCGCGGGAGGGTGAGGACACTGGCATCCATCCCACGCTGAGGCTGTCCAGTCTTGCAGTCCCAGCACCCAGAGGTGCCCCTCGGCAGGGAGCGAGGTGGCCGGCGGTGAGGCAGGAGAGGCAGATGCTGGGCTTCGCACACCCGCATGCGTGTGGTTGAGCGTGCGTGGGCACGGGGCAGCTTCCACCGGACAACGGGAAGTTAGTCTAGACAGACACCACTGGGGGAATATGCTGACAAATGCTGGATTTTCCACTCACCCGTTCACCCCTGTGCTCTGCAGCTGCCTGTGGCTGCTGGGCCTCTGCCCCGGATGGGTGTAAGCCTGATCTGTGCAAGGCCAATGCAAACGGGGCTGTCACTGCTCACGGTGCTGGGGTGCTCAGCTCCGGACCTGTCCCAGCAAGGCAAAGACTAGGGAACATCACCAGGACGTGGCAGCTGCTCTCACAGCCGGAGCTCTGTCCAGACAGTGGGGGGGGA